TGATGGTTTTTAGAAATAAAATATGGACTGTTGTGATACATTCATTATGTTGAAATTGAAATACAAAAGCTGTTAAGAGATTTAGGATAAAGAAAGCAAGGAGGACATGTTCAGAATAAAATCAATGTTTGTGGAATAGAAAAAAATGCAATTTTCAAGGGACATCTTTGGAAGAAAATTAATAGGACAAAATGACTAATTGAGTTGGCAGGTAATAGAGGGAGCAATAAGATATTTCCAAAGCTTTTACAGGAGCTATCATTATGATGATACTATTGGATGTTTGGGAACAAGAGGAAGGGCATTTATTTTTAGTGAATAAGCTCAGATAACAACACACAGCTCTGAACATCATAGTTCTAGTTCTAGTGGCCTATGTGGGAAAGTACTACTGTGAAAGAAACTCCCCTATACCCAGTCTTGAAAAAAAAATGACAGTTAATTATTATCTCTTACTGATCTGTATGATACCTGGGCTGAACTGGGCACTGTTATCAAGAGATGGAATTGGGGCTGAGGTTAGATGATGACTTGGGATGATAGATATTCAAGATGACTTCCTCATGGTCATTGGCCTTCAAGAGGTAAGAACATAGGCTGTGAGTCCTTATAAGACCTGGGATTGGAATAGTATAGCTTCTCCAATCTTTATTAGTTATATGATCCCAGGCCAACTCAAACTCCAGGTAAAGTTTGAGTTTACTTTACTTCTCAGCACTGGACTCTACTTCTCAGCACTGGAGTATCAATAAATGTGTCTCTAGCTTATATTTGCCACAAGACTTTGAAGACCCACATTCAGAGATGTTTAGGAGACAGTTATGAATACTAGTCTGGGTCTCCTGAAAGTAATCGGAAAGAGAAATGTGACTGGATATATTATCAAGGGAAGATTAGCAGTCAAAACCACAGGATAAAGTCAAGAAGTTATAAATGATAAAAGAATAGCATTATGAAAGAAACTGATACAAGGGAGAAAATAAAGCAGAGAAGCAAGGGACAGGGAACAAGTCTCTGAATATAGGAGAGGTCAAAATGTCAGAAATGGGTGGAAACCAGTGCTGCCTAGATGTTGGAAAGGATGACTTACAAAGGAATGTTCAGTAGACATCAGTAACTTCTCAGGACACAGCAGTAGTAGCATTAACAAAGCAATACTCCATGGGACTGAGGTCAGAAAAGGAGGACAGAGCATAATACTGCCCTTCTGGGAGGAACTGGTATCGGCTGGGCAAACACTCACAGCTCTGCCCAGTGAGAACACAGAGGCAGGGAATAGATTCCTGTTTGTTTTATTTGCCTGTTGGTTGGGTGGCTTGGAATGATCAGTGGAAGAGCAGAAAACAGGAGGAAGGAGATAGGTGGACTTGGTTAGTGTAGGAGAAATCTAGCTTCTGAAAGACTGGGGGTGAGAAATGGAGGACACTGGGAGCAGAAGCAAAGCAAGGTTGGTGCATTTGATATGGAGAGGGAGGAGGGAACTAAAATAGTCTTCAACTTTCTGGAGAATGGAATTGAGGCATTCTACCCTGACACTAGTCCTGGATTTCCCATTCTGGTCCACTCACACTCTACTCTGAGAAGTCTCTTGACTGTCTCTGCTGTGAAGTTGTAAACCCAACTCCTGTTACTGAACCCCTTCTCCCAGGGAGACTTTGTTGATTCAGACAGGAAGAAAGAGGATGGCTTCCTTCTCAGAACATCTGTAGAACATTTCTTTAACTTCTAACTCCATGCTTTGACTGTCTCATGTATTACATTTGATGGTATTTCTTTTTCTTTCCAAGCTTTGTGTACAATAAAAATAAAACATAGCTGAACAAAGCTATGATGGGTTTGATATGAACTTCTGTCTTGTATACACAGAACTGGAGGACCCTAAAGAACTTAAGATAAGAAATTTGTAAGGAAGTTTTGCTTATCTGTTTGCATTATATTTTCTTTATTACTTCATTTCTAATTGTTGATTATGAAATGAAAATAAAATTTAAATAATGTTAAATATTAGGGATTTATAATTATTTATCATTTATAGCATAATTTATAAAGAGAAAGAAAGTAGTTGTGAGCAAGAAAGGACAGCATATAGTCATTGGCTTTGAGGAAATTTTTGAGAAAATAAAAAACAGGACTAGTGAGACTAAATTATTATCAAACCCATATCTGATTGTATATGAAAGGTAACAGGTTATCTTTTCTCTCTTACTTTTCAAGTTGATTTTGCTTTAGAGTTAAATTAATTTTTAAGACAATTTGAAGATTTTATGTAAAGTTATTTTCAGATAATATGTTTCCTTCATAAAGATATAGAAACTATTTAACAGGAAAATTGTATGAATTTAGAGTTGAGTTTGTGAATCTGGCCAATTAAGCCAAAGAGTGTAATAAAAATAAAAGGCCAAAATAAATTAGTTTATTATAGCACAGGAAAATAGGACACTGCCATCTTGTTTCTATCAGTGGATAAAATATGAAAAGCTAGCACAGCCCTTTGCTACTCAGAAAAAGATTTTAATTTTTATGTCTTCATCATAAATATTGTACACTATATAGAATCAACGAGTATCCCTTTTTATGGCAAACTGACCAAACCTTGGAGAGGGAGGAATTGTGCCTTCATTTTTGTGTTCCTGAGTTTGCTATGCCTTGAAGAGATGAGAGGTAAATAAGTGAATAAAAAAATGAAAAATTGAAATATGATTTATAATCAACTGGGTTATGGGTATCACGTGTATAATGTATATAATTTATAATTATCACCCCAATTACTGTACTCTAAGAAGTGATCTTAAAAGCATGAGACTCGCACAGTATACTAGAGTCACTAGGAAACCTCAGCTGCTGAAGGGGCTGTGAGAGACTGTGATAGAAGTACATGAACGATTTTCCAATATCGTCCGGCAGAAAAAGAAATATTGAATGTGTATATGCTCATCTTTGCTATAATCAGGAAGGGGTGGTGCACTAAAGCTGTTAGGAAATGGAGGTTCTCAGGAGACAACATCCTTCTCTCTAACGTTTAGGAAAAACAGTTTTGTACGTAAGGAGAAGACTGGTGGGAAGTTGCAAAATGAGCAGTAAGTAATTTTACTTGAAAATTTAGTTTCCATCACAGCTCTAAGAGGCATAGCAAAATAATGCAGATATTTTTTAAAAAAGTATATTAGTTCGTATCATAAAGTGAGTACAATATCTTAGAAACGGAATGCTTCATTCTCTTTAGTCATTTAAATGTTCTAATGGCTTCGTTTGACTTTACCTCGTAGCTGGATTTATGGTGCCTAGCTTGGAATATTCTTATGCATGCTCTTAATTTCTCTTTCAGGATTTAGAGTTCTCACTAATTATGCTGTAAATTGACTGCTGAGGACACTCTGTGATTCTATAGGTAGTGTCCAGCCTCTTAGTATTATAATGTTAAAGAAAATGAAAGGGTCACAACCCGAAGAGGCATTAAATCTGTAATATAATAGTTAAAACTTGTGACTGATATTTAGGCACTTTTGTACTCCAACATACAATAACAAACATTATCAGCTCTACCGACTTTGTTCCTGAATTTGGAAGACAAAGGAGATCACAAAGAGAAAAAGCGATACAAAGCCACAAAAGCTGGACTTCAGAAACGCTCAGTCACCACTTAGCAGACTGCTGTGTTACCAAGACTAAAACATAACAGGAAGTCTCATCAGCATTTAAACAACAGGGCTGCACAGGACCCTAGCCGGGCGTCCTGCAGAATCTACTCAAACACATCTATTCAAACAAAAAGCATAAAGAGGAAATGCGTGTGGGCATGCATTATTTTATTAGTTATTATTGATTATTTGACTTTTTTCTATGATGTTGGAGATTGAATCCTGAGTTTTATACAGAGTAATCAAGTAGTATACAGCTGTGCTATATAAACCTTGGACCTGACACATCTATATTTTAAACATTTTGTTAACAAGCAGGGATTTAGAGGTGTGTGTTGGCTATTGCCAACGACTTTCTGATGGGCCTGGGAGGCTGCTGCTCTCTCTCTTTAACTGCTATCAGTCACCCTGCACTGCTACAGACCCTTACCCTTCTGCCCCACTTCAGAAAGCTGAAGCTTTTGGTGGGTATCTCCAACTTTGCTGTCTGAAAAATTACAGGTGAAAAAAAAAAACAGTAAATGACCACATCAAGTGATTCCATGCATATCCATTATGTGCTTGATCAGGAGGTTCCTTTAATCATATTTTAGGCAAAGCATTTGTGAAAATAAGACTGGGGTGGGGGGTCAGGAACACAACTGCTCAACCCAGGCAGCCTTGATCCCACATCAAGGTTAGAAGTTCAGTGAGTTTCCACTGGTGGAGTTGTTATATAAATTAATGCCATTCAGAATTGCTTTAACTTGCACAGCTGATTGAGAGATGTGTGACTAAGCTCCCAAATTGGCATCTGCAAGCACATCTGTAGGAGCTGCCTTATCTCTCCAACACTTCCTTCTTCCCACCTCACTTCCTGTCATTATCACCATCCATTTCATCAAAATCTCCTTCAAAATCAAAAGCCCTTGGGGAATAGTTAATGCTTAAAGCCATAGGTCACTAAATGTATGGAAGATTATCATGAGTCTTTTTCATTTCCATTTTGATTAAGTGAAAGCCTCTTAATTTGGGTCATAATTGATACATAAATCTATAGAGAAAATGAACATGCATTTATAATGTAACCAACATTACAAGATTTATTGTTCTTATAATGTGTAAATACAGAAAGAAGGGGGAGAATAAAAGAGTCCGGCTCTCAGATCCCGGGGATATGAAACAGTGCCAGGGACTAATGGAGCAAACTCATCCTGAACGTCCAGCCTCCTGCTCTCAATGGCTCTTGTCTCCTCCTTTCAATCGAACTCAGTCTCCTATTTGAAATGCCGTCTAACATTAATCTGTCTATGCTATTCAACTGCCCTTTTGGTGGAAGGTTTGTGAGTGAGAAAATGAAAGGCTCAAAATGGATTTCCATACCTGATTGTGGACTTTGTTTGGGGATTTTGGCTACCGCTTGAGGGCTGGAGGTGGAGTGCGTTCGTTGGTTGGCAGAGCTGTGGATGCTGCTGGGAACCACGGATGACACATTCTTTCGAGGCTTCATGTCTTGTAGCCACATGGGCGAGGCTTCAAAGGCCTGCATTCTCCGCGCATGGCTGTTGGCATTGACTTTCAGGTAGGCCTGGGCCTTGTGTTCCTGTAGCTCCCCGTAGTTGGCGTCTGTCACCCTGCACTCATATAAGCCTTCATCCTTTTTCCTCACTTTGGAGATCTGAAGCTTGTGGGAGATGTCATTGCCTTGGACTTTCACTGTCTGAAAAATTGCAGGGGAAAAAGCGAAGTTTTACATTGAAGGATTTTATTCGCACTCTCTTACGCTTGCTAATGTTGGGAGTAAAGGGTTGCATAGCACAAATCTGAAGTCTCATCCACAGACTTGAGAGGTCAGAAGCTCAGTTTAAGCAGTGTCTGAGTGGCCCAGCTGTCCACACTTCCCAGATTCCCATAACAGCTCTGTTAGTTTTTCGACATGGGATTGGCCTCTGAATGAAACACTGAGCAAGGATTTCTGGAATAGACCCCTTCTTTTTTGGTATGGCTATAAGACAACTCCTTTAAATCCAGGGCCACAAAAAATGTTGCTAACTTGGATAGTAATATTTCTCTTCTCAGTTGCCTATTAATGTGGCATTGCAGGGCTCAGGCTACCGAGAAATAGCATCTGAAATCAAGGCTCATTGTATATGCCCATGTCATTATACAAACTTGAGATTCTATTGATTGAACATTGATTTGATTTTCAAGACTGAAGTCAACTTTATTTTAGTTACTCTATCCCAGATTAATAGCAAGCTCATATGTCTAATGTATAATATTAACTATATATTATGTAATCCATGTGGCATATATATATCAGTTAAATTGGTATATATCATATATTAATCCATAATTGACAGACTGAAAGATGACATAAATCTGTCAGGTTAAAGATCTGATTAAACATCTAAACATAGTAATGAAGGGTGATGAAGAAGGATATTCTAGCTATGACCATTGTAATTATTACAAAGTAGCCTACTTTTCATATTATCAGTAAGTCAGTCTGGACTAACAACAAGTGTAGATTTATATCTGCTCTGGTTTCATATTTTTGTGATTTATTTGAATACTATATTTATAAATACTTTATTTGAATTATGAATGATATACAAATTGAGTCATATTTTTATTCATTTGAAAATCCTATTGCAAGGCTTAGCTTCTGTTTTCCAAATTTTTTCTATTAAAAATAGGTACTCCCATTACTTTGAATTATTAACATTATTAGTATTGAAGTATTGCAGACCTTTATTGCTACACTTAGGTGACTGTGAAAAAGATTAAGAAAAGCAGTGCAATAATCCCATTAGCTAGCAGATTCATATCCTAGCCAATCTGTACTTATCTACATGACTAAAACATGCAGTTTTATTCATGGACCCTAAATTTAGCTCAATTTTTAGGAATTTCATGAGGTAAAAAGAGACAACTGCCTCTTATCCAGAATTTATAAAATTACCTTTTCAGGCTCAATGACTTACAAGGCTTTAAATCTAAAGTCTGTTTTCTATTAATGTTCACCTTGGGCCTTTCTGGCCATTTATAATGCATGATCCCCCTGTCCCTTGTCCCTATGACACTCACACTTATCTTGGTCCCATCATTGTCCGGGTCTCTGTCGGGTAAGAGCTCCACCTGTAGGACAAGAGTGCAAATGCTCATCCGAGTTCCCCAGTCCCGGGTGTCACGATACCGCAGCGCGCAACCACCAGGAGAGATCCCAGCCTTCTGGTCTTGAAACGTTTCAGTCAAAGCAATTTGAGAGCCAAAAAGAAGCACGACCGAGGTCCCTACCGCATTCAGTACTAAGGCCAGGCTGGATTGCTTCCCTCGCTCCTCCCTGAAGTTCCCCTCTCCCCTCGTCGGATTCCAAGCAGTCCCTGGGGTCTCCGTGTCTTCCCAGAATATTACTGTGATCTTGGCTCTCCTAGAGAATCCCTAGGGTCTCTGTGGTTCCAACTGTCCAAGGGACACCCTGGAGAGTCCCTGTGGTCCCCAAGCATTCCTGTGCTCACACCTCCCCCTCCCCCCCCCGTTGTTCCCAAGTGTCCCTGAGGTCCCTGCGGTCTTCTTATCCTAGCGACACCCTGGAGAGTCCCTGTGGTCCCTGGAGCCCCTCAGGCTGTGCTCCCCCTGGCCGGCCCGAGGCTAGAGTAGCTGCGAGGCTAGGTTTTCTCCCGCCCAGTTCAGTCTGCCCTGTCCACAGGCTCAGGGAAGGGTAGGGACAGGCGCAAAACCAGGCTAGGACAGGACCGTGGCAGGAAGTTTCTCCGAAAAATTTCTGCATCTCTGCCCTCGTTGTTGACCAGTACCCAGGTTCTTTTCAACAGACTTTCTCGTTTCTGTCCTCTAGGTCTCACGTCCGAGTCCTCTTTTGCTCCGTGGGTCTCTCTTTACCACTCTTAGGGCTAGGGCGCTACTCTTTTAGCTTCTTTACGCTTTCCTTGTCTTCTTGCTTTCTCCCTTCTAGCTTGCTCATCGCCCGCTCTACTTTCATCGCCAGTCCAGGGCCTCTCCCTGCTTCTCTGATGCCTCTCCCCATCTCTCCCTCTCCCCATTTTTCTCTCCCTCTCTCCTTCCTTTCTTCCTTTATCTTTCCTCCTGCCTGCCCTCTCTCCCTCCTTCTCTGCCCTCCGCCTCTGTGTGTGTGTGAATGAGAGAGAGAGGGGGGGGGCGGGAGGAAAGAAAGGGGAAGAGAGGGAGAGGGAGGAGAGGAAAGAGAGAAAGAGGGGGGAAGAGAGGGAGAGGGAAGGAGGGGCGAGGGGGAGGGGAGGGGGAGGAAGGAGGGGAGAGGGAGCGAGGGAAGGAGCGAG